AAATAAATAAATAAATGATTGTGACTTCTTTAAAAAAAAACATAGTAGTAATGGCTGAAGACCACTAATTATGAGTACATTTAAATATAAGGTTTGATTTCATTCTCACCAGACTGTGAGGCTGGTAAGCTGGACAGTCACTCCTACCTGACAGAGAAGAAACTGAGTCTTACAGAAGACTGTGACTTCCCCAAAATTGCAGCACTAATATACAGGATTCAGAACACTATGAAATCTGTGTGTCTGTGTTTTGCCTCCTAAATTGTGCTAACTGTTTCTAATTCTAGTCTGTAAATAATTACGATGGTTCGACTTACAATTTTTCAACTTTATGATGGTGCAAGAACGATATGCATTTAGCTGAAATTTTGAATTATGGTCTTTTCCTGGGCTAGCGATATGCAGTACAACACTCTCTCCTGAGCTGGGCAGTGACAGCAAGATGGTTTTGCCCACCTATAGGCTAATATGAGTGCTGAGCATGTTTAAGGTAGGCGAAGCTAAGCTTAGTTCAATAGGTTAGGTGTATTAAATGCATTTTCGACTTAACAATCTTTTTAATTTACAGTTGGATTATGTCCTGATAAACACTATCAGAAACCCATCACAGGTTTAGAAACATTTGTAGAAGTTGTGGTAGAGACAACACAATAGCACGTATCTCAGCATAATTCTCCATCGACTCCATTTCCCTTGTTGATAAAGTGCTGACACCATGGGCTTTAAGGTCAAATCTCAACACCAGCTACTGGCCTGGAGCCCACAGGGAAGTAACTGAAACCTTTAGCATCAGGTCAACTTTGAGGAATTCTTGCAAGGATTAAAATGAGATAATGCAAACAACGCCTGCGGGTGTATACTAACTAGAGAAACTACTAATTTTGCTACTGCGTTATAAAGCAAGTTCCTTAGGAGTGGGGATGGAATTTATCTGGGTCCTAGAGTAGCAAACACAATGGTATTTATCTGGAAAGTTCAGAATAAATGTTGACAGGTGGCTGGTTGTTTCATACCACGGTTTGTCATTAAGCTAATTACTGAAATTTTGGGGCTCAGTTTGTTACTATGTAATTTGAAAATGCTAGAATAACTGATCATAACTCTAAAATCTTATGCAATTACAATATTTACCACTATATATCCCTATAATGAATATACGTGTGAGTTACACTATAAACTGCAGAAATTTTAGTGGCAGTATAACTAACACACCTGCATGGCACTTGGAAGCTGATAGTGTCCTACTTAGTGAGTCTCAGGTTTGCCTTAGAAGCCAAGGAAACCATCCTAATTAGAGTAATATCAGAGGACATTAGGGGACTTTCTTTACACAAACAGAAATGCTCAGTCCTGTAACCCACATTTAATGGGAAACCTACAAGTCTATCCTGGCTTGGGTGTAGGATTTGGGAGCAAGTAAAGTTGAGCCAGGGATTGCATGTTGTATCCCCAAATTCATAGGTTGACACCGAACCCCCAGTGTGATGACATTAGGAGGTGGGGACTTTGGGAGGTGATTAGGTCATGAGGTAGGAGCCCTCAGGGTGGGATTAGTGTCCTTACAAAAGAGACCCCAGAGCCCTCGGCCCCTTCCACCATGTGAGAACCCAGTGAGAAGACTGTCTCTGAACCAGGAGGGAAGCTCTCACCAGACACTGAATCTTGACCATGGACTTGCAGCCTCCAGACTGTGAGAAATGAATGTCTGTTGTTTATAAACCACCCGGTCTGTGGTGGTTGTGTTATAGCAGCCCAAACAGACCAGGACACACTCAGGAGAAGCTGTGTCTGACTTGGTGCTGCTCCTCAGCCCCTGACTGAGTTTGGCACCAAACGTCTGGCCCACTGAGCCAGAAGAATGACGTTCCTTTTGTCCCTGATGCTGCCCTATTCTCTTAGAATCCGACTTCCTCACCCTGGCCTCAGCCTGGGTTGCTTTATTGTGCAGACAGCAACACTCAGGCACATTCTTAAAGCAATAGCAGGGCAGCTGCATGCACTGTGGTGCCATCAGTGCCCTCAGCCAGCCCAAGGGTGATGGATTTTAACATTCAGTGACAAAAGAGGCTGGGCACCTCCTCATTCATCACTGGAGAGAGAATCAGCATGTCAAGAGATGAGGCCAAGAGGAGAAGGACAACCACAGCTTCTCCTCTCCCATCTCCCCAGGGTCTTCCCTGGGAGTGGCTCTCCCGCAGAAGGGTTTTGAGAGGAATAGCTAATTTGGGGAAGAAGCACTGAGAAAATGAAAGTGAGGCAGAGATAAGATGGAGGGCAGAATGAACCTGATTTTGAGTGACACGAGGCACAATGAACCCTGGGAATGAACCTCTTGAGGAGTGAAGTGCTTGCCTGCGGTAAAGTACCTCTGGGTCCCAGGAGTGTGAGCCCACTGTGCACGGGGGGGTTGGCTCTATCTCAGGACCAGCCCCACTCCCCTCCAAACAGCAGAAGGAGGTGGGTGGACCACCCAGGCTCTCACAGCCCTGTGCTGCATCTTCCCTGAGATCTTTCCAGTCTGCAATTTGTACATGGGACCAATGAACACTGGTTCCCCTGAGCAGTCCCTCCCTCAGCTCCTGAGCCCACCTCAAAGGGAGGGCTTGTCTGAGCCCCATGCACTCAATGAAGGACACCCATGTTTCCTCTAAGGCCTGGGTTTCTAGGAAGGAATGAGACTTCCCTGGTAATTGTTCTTTTCTTATCCTTAGCTCCATTTTCTTGCTGACTGTGATTTATGAGGATTGCATTAACAACCATTTCTAAAGATGTCTTTGGAAGATATCTGGATGCTCCCCAAAACACAGGCAGCACCTACTGATGCTGGCATTCTGGGTGGGGTCCTCAAGAACTGCCAGAGTCCCTGGTACCAGCCAGGCTCTGGCCCTGTGAGTCACTCACTAACTCACCGTCTGTGTACAGGGCTGACCCAGGCCCAGCTTTGTGAAGTCACAGGCCTTGTTCCCATGCTCAAGAGGCTGAAGGTCTGTGGGAGACCAGAACTAACACTGAAAGGGCTGAGCGAGGGGCTTCAGGAAAACACCCCAGTCTTCTTGACAGTCCCATGTGATGGAAGACACAGCAATCCTTAAATTATAAGAAAACTGAGACCTAAAATAACAGGGAAATCCAAAGTTACTCAATGAGCATGGGAGAGCCAGGGTACATGCTCATGGAATTTATTTCCAAGTCTATGGCCTTAAACTATGATGCAAAGTAAAATTATCCTATCTAATAAAAGCCCAGCGACCGAACAGTGGAATGACCAGGACGACCGGTCGACCGGTTGCTATGATGCACACTGACCACCAGGGTGCAGACACTGAACACAGGAGGTTCCCTCGTGGTCAGTGCACTCCCACAATGGGAGCACCACTCGGCTGACTAGGATGAGCGGCTGCTCTCGTAGCAGGAGCAGCCACTCAAGGGGCGGGTCCATAGCCGCTAGGCTGACCAGGATGAGCAGCACTCCTACAGCAGGCCAATCCCCACAGGCCATGCTCCCCACCAGTGCACAAATCCCATGCACTGGGCCTCTAGTATAATATAATTACTATGATGCAAAGTAATTATATTATATAATCCTATATAATAAAAGCCTAATATGCTAAGTAACCTTCCGTTCATTTGACCGCTCAACCAATTGCTATGATGCAAATTGACCACCAGGGGGCAGACACTTCGACTGGTTATATAGGTTAGCTTGCTGCTGGGGTCTGGCCAATTGGGACTGGGTGAGATGGGCTGGATATGCCTTGGAGCCCTCCCGCAGTCCCTCCCTGGCCCAAATCGTGCACTGGTGTGAGGGACACCACCGGTGCATGAATCTGTGCACCATACCTCTAGTGGGAGTGGCTCTCCCGCAGAAGGGTTTTGAGAGGAATAGCTAATTTGGGGAAGAAGCACTGAGAAAATGAAAGTGAGGCAGAGATAAGATGGAGGGCAGAATGAACCTGATTTTGAGTGACACGAGGCACAATGAACCCTGGGAATGAACCTCTCGAGGAGTGAAGTGCTTGCCTGCGGTAAAGTACCTCTGGGTCCCAGGAGTGTGAGCCCACTGTGCATGGGGGGGTTGGCTCTATCTCAGGACCAGCCCCACTCCCCTCCAAACAGCAGAAGGAGGTGGGTGGACCACCCAGGCTCTCACAGCCCTGTGCTGCATCTTCCCTGAGATCTTTCCAGTCCGCAATTTGTACATGGGACCAATGAACACTGGTTCCACTGAGCAGTCCCTCCCTCAGCTCCTGAGCCCCCCCTCAAAGGGAGGGCTTGTCTGAGGCCCATGCACTCAATGAAGGACACCCGTGTTTCCTCTAAGGCCTGGGTTTCTAGGAAGGAATGAGACTTCCCTGGTAATTGTTCTTTTCTTATCCTTAGCTCCATTTTCTTGCTGACTGTGATTTATGAGGATTGCATTAACAACCATTTCTAAAGATGTCTTTGGAAGATATCTGGATGCTCCCCAAAACACAGGCAGCACCTACTGATGCTGGCATTCTGGGTGGGGTCCTCAAGAACTGCCAGAGTCCCTGGTACCAGCCAGGCTCTGGCCCTGTGAGTCACTCACTAACTCACCGTCTGTGTACAGGGCTGACCCAGGCCCAGCTTTGTGAAGTCACAGGCCTTGTTCCCATGCTCAAGAGGCTGAAGGTCTGTGGGAGACCAGAACTAACACTGAAAGGGCTGAGCGAGGGAAAACACCCCAGTCCTCTTGACAGTCCCATGTGATGGAAGACACAGCAATCCTTAAATTATAAGAAAACTGAGACCTAAAATAACAGGGAAATCCAAAGTTACTCAATGAGCATGGGAGAGCCATGGGGGAGCCAGGGTACATGCTCATGGAATTTATTTCCAAGTCTATGGCCTTAAACTATGATGCAAAGTAAAATTATCCTATCTAATAAAAGCCCAGCGACCGAACAGTGGAATGACCAGGACGACCGGTCGACCAGTTGCTATGATGCACACTGACCACCAGGGTGCAGACACTCAACACAGGAGGTTCCCTCGTGGTCAGTGCACTCCCACAATGGGAGCACCACTCGGCTGACTAGGATGAGCGGCTGCTCTCGTAGCAGGAGCAGCCACTCAAGGGGCGGGTCCATAGCCGCTAGGCTGACCAGGATGAGCAGCACTCCTACAGCACGTTCTATAATCGAAACAATGTATAACTTCAGCTCTGAGATCCCGGCAGGCTGAAAGCCGGTTTCTGGGGTTTTGTTTAGCTTCTTATTTGCAACATAGTACATAGTTGCTGAGAGTTGCAACTCAGAGGCCGGCAAGTCAGGCGGGGAACGTTGGAGTCTGCAGTCACTGGAGCAAGCAAGCCTCATGTTCGCTTCCAGCTGCCTGGCTGCCGGCCGCCATCTTGGCTGACAGTTAATTTGCATAAGAATATGCTGATTAGCCAATAGGAAGGGTAGCGGGCGTATGCTAATTACCATGTTTCTCTTTTATTAGTGTAGATAATGTTATGTATTATATAATTCTATATAATAGAAGGCTAATATGCAAATCAACTGAACAACGGAATGACTGGTTGGAGCACCAGGCTCACGGCTGGCGAGCGCAGCTGCAGTGGCAGGAGCCTCTCCCGCCTCTGTGGCAGTGCTAAGGATATCTGACTGCCAGCTTAGGCCCGCTCCACGTGCTAAGGATATCTGACTGCCAGCTTAGGCCCGCTCCCCACTGTCAGTCAGACACCCCGCGAGGGCTCCCGGACTGTGAGAGGGCGCAGGCCGGCCTGAGGGACCCCCCACCCCAAGTGTACAAATTTTGTGCACCAGGCCTCTAGTGTTATATAATGAAAAATGTCATTAGGCATAACATAAATATAAATGTTATAAGTCCTTAGGTGTATGCAATAACATTAAATATAAACTATATTATAAATATAGCATAAATATATATAATATAAACAAAATACAAAACATATAAAATAGCAAGAGAGAAGTTAGATGCTGTGAGGTTTTCAGAAGCAGGGACTATCACTTCCATACTGCTGAGAGGGCAGACTGAGAGAAGTATTTATGAAGGAAGTAGTCTTTAAATCATGTTTCAAACGTGGATAGCATTGGGTAAGGCTGAGATGGGGAAAGTCATTCAGGGCTTAGGGGACAGTGAATGAGACCATACTGCAGAAGATGCGTATGGTGGCGAGAGAAGTAGACAAAAAGGAGACTTAGAATCAGATCACAAAGGAGCAAGCTGCTGACTTTGGCTTTGTTCAGATGGTCACACATTCATAGCCATCTGATACTCACCTGTTATCCATATGACACCCACCTTACATGCCCCTGATACCCACCTGATAGTCATCTGATCCTCATCTGTTACCACATAATACCACCTGTTACCCACCTGATACTCACCTATTACCTACTTGGTACCCACCTAATACCTACCTGGCACCCTTCTAATAATACCTACCTGATATTTACTTGATGCTCATCTAATACCCATCTGATACCCACCTGATACTCACCTGATACTCACTTCTTACCCACAAGATATCCACATGTTACCTACCTAATACCTACCTGGCACCCAGCTGATGATACCCACCTGTTATATGACAACATTCTCCATTTGGTCATTGATGCCTTGGACTCAGGTGGCCCTGCCTCACGTTCAGAACCACGTCTAGAACTCTCTGTGAAGTTGGAAACCACACAAGGAGTTTCAAGGAGGAATGAAATAGGCAAATGTGTTCCTGCTCTCCCAGTCAGTCTGCAGGCCGTGGAAACCTGTCTGGTTTGCTTCTGAGTATTTCAGGTGCCTCACACCCAGATATTACTTCTCCAATAAATCATATTTACTATCAACCCTCTGTGACTGAATAGGATCCTGGCATCGCTGCTCAGATTAATGTGTTATTGCTGCTCTTACTGTGTTGTCACCAGGACTTTGAACCAGCCTGGTTGGAAGCTGTGTGCTTCAAATTGATTGTTGTGGAGTCCTCACAACTACCTGTGATAGAAGCACCGTTAATATCTTGGTGTTGTAGATAAGGAGCCCAAGGTGCAGAAAAATCATGAATTTGCCCCCCAAGACATGCGGTCATTAGGTAGAAGTGGGAAATAAACCTCATTCAAGCCAGGACACCTGTCAGCTTGCAGTTAGGTATTTGCTCCCTGCTTGAATCGTAATGTCTATCATATGTTAGGTGTCTGCAATAACACTGGATCGTAGAACAGGACTCCATCAGTCCTGAGATGTTGCCTGTGCCAGTTCCTATAAGCGTTGCTAATGAGTGAGTAACCAACACAAAACCAACTAATAGGCATGTCCTCAAAGTGTAGCTCCTGTCCATGGACAGATGCATTTCCTGTGACTCCTGATCGCAGCTGCTTCGTCACATGCAACATACCAGCAGGTAGACTGGACTTCCCTGTCTAGTCTGCATCACAGTGCCCTGCTCTTTCCTCAGCTGGCTTCACTAGGTTATCAGCCCCCAAAGGTCAGAGTCCACACAACCCCCTATGTATGCTTGTGTGCATCTACTGATACATACATATGTGGACACAATTAGTGATAGAATAAATAAATTCTACCATGTAAATTTCATAGGACAGCATCAGTCCAGATACTTAAAATATTAACCAGAAATTGGGGCATGAGCTGTTCCAAATCTAGCAGCCTCCTCAGTGATGGGCTGATAAGAGCTGCTGATCCTGCCACCAGAAGTGTTATCCACCTGGTGGGAGAAAGTGTCACCAGGACTTCAAACCAGCCTGGTTGGAAGCTGTGTGCTTCCATTACATTAACTCATTGCTACTGTTATTATTATCAAGTACGTATAACTTGACAAGACAGCTCCTGAGTCAGCCATCTTTCTGCTTGGATTTTAGAGTAAATTGCTGTGATTTTTATGGAGGGCCACGTCTTTCAAGAACAGATGTTTGTTATGGGACCATGATAGTATGTTAAAATATTAATTAAAGTCACCTCAGAAGCACACTCTTCCCAAACCTACATCATCCAATATCTTCTACATCAACGACTATGTCTGGGGCACACGCATGCATTATATATAGGATTGTGAGTGAGGCCGTAGTGTTAGCAATAATAATAATGACAACAATAACCATATTAATAACTAGCACTAGTTATTGTGTCCTCTTTGGTCATCCATTACACTAATCATTTTATATTTTTTCTCACTTAATCTTCATAATAGCCATGTGAATTTGGGCTTATTATCATCTCCATTTTATAGATCAGGAAACTGAGGCACATAAGTGAAACCCAGTGATGGCATAGTAAGCTTATCAATGGCTCTTTGATGTCAGTTTCCCATGTAAACCTAAATTCTGAGACACTTACTTAAGCAAGTCAAGGTTGGTGGAAGATTATCAGGACCAAGTCAAAAACCGAGAAGTTAGAATTTCATGTTTAAGATGTACTATTAGCTCACAAAACAAATTTTCCAAATCAATCAATAAAAATCTTTTCAGTTCCTCAGTTACCCCACATATTCTTCAACTGCATAGCAAAGAAAGAAAGGGTGTGTTCAACCAGTAGGTCATGGGTCCCACTGGTCACGCGCCCTTCACTCTCTCAAAGCCACCCCACCACCACCACCACCACCACCCCAGGCATGCCTGCACATCGTCTCTTCATTCACCACAGCCAGCCTGAGAGCACTGGGCTTTGTGTGACCAGCCTCCTGGCGACTGACTCCCGGACAGGGCTCCCCATTCCCTCCAGGCTCCAGGCTGTCTGTGCACCTGGGTGACCCCTTCTGCTTTCCCTTTCAAGTGCACAACCTCCTAACCCAAGTGCAGTCTCTGGTCCAGACCCGCCCTATGGGAGCAGCTCCCTCCCTAGTGAGCACTTACTGGTTTTGATCCTTGTAAGCACAGTGACCTCAAAATGACCAGTGAGCTCCAGGGCTCCTCACGGAGTCAGATTCTGGTGGCCCTACAATGGGGTCCATGCCCTGTAGAATCCTCACTGCCTGGGGCAGCTTCTACTCCGCTGGGAGTTTGCTACAGGCTCACAGAGAAGTGAGACCTCGTGGACTTGAGTGTAGCTCAGCTTTGCAATTCAGATAACTTATACAATTTGCCACTCACATCTTGATAGGCTCCTTGTCTACTGGTGGGCTATGAGCAAGACTGGATGGTGAAGAACTGTTTCAAAGATGATTTTTAAAAACCTTTTTATCACAGTCACCTAAACATCTGCTTTATTTTTGCTACATACACATTTCAAAAAAAGAAAAAACCCAGAGGGCTTGATTTGAAAGGCTTTATTTTCATTTCATTACTGTCATTTGCAGGATTTTAATGAATGCCGCAACCTTCACGGTGGGGTGCAGGATCTGAAGGAGGGGCCGATGCACAAATGAAAATGCTATCCAAGAAATATGAATTTAGAAGGCATGGGGGGCCAGGTGGAGACCTCTTTCTTGAAGAGGCACCCCTGAGACTGTGTCCCATCTGCTTTTTTATTCAGTTTTAGATACACATCTTGCCCTCTAGCAATGCATACAGGCATATCAAAGGTAAAGTTTGGTAAACAGTAAAAGGATTATCAGGTTAGGGAATTGCCTTGAGCCACCACTATCTCAACAATGAGCCTTGCTAACGCCCAAGGTCCATTGGTCTTCCTAGTTCCTTGGTGCATTGACAGTATTGGCAAGCAGTGGCTTCCCGCAAATGAAGGCTTACGATTCTTCAGAAGAAAGACATGGTCAGCATAAGGTATAATTATATGCGCTCTGTGCTCATATAACCACATGTCCTTAACACAGTGGTCAGTGGTCCCAGTGAATTTGCTTGGGTCTCATAGGTCCTGGGCAGAGGCTTTTTACCTTTAGCAGGAGGCCCTGCCATGAAGAGGATCATGTCCATTCACATAGCCTAGGAGGATTCTGTTGGTGCCTAAGACCGCAAGGTCAATAAAGAAAGGCTGAGGTCTCCAACCCTCAGGAAATCAATCCTCCTTCCCAGGCTTCCTCCTGCCCTTTAGCCATTCTCTCTGTTCTCTGAACAATGGAGCATCTCAGCCCTATTACAGGAGCTGACAAGCCTTCCCAGGGAGGCCTCTGGCCAGTTGTGCTGT